CGGATGAGAGGCGATGACCAAACGCCTTAGATATTGCACGCCCGCACGTCACCCTCGGCTACTTGAATGATGTTCACACTTTAGAACCTTGTTTCTTTGAGATCGATTTGGATATGAAATATCTGTAATTCTTCCCGAAATTTTTGACCGAATATTTCGACCGAGAACTTTATAATCAAACCTGCTTCGTATTCATTTACAAATCTCGGTCAGGGGACCGAATATTCTTATAGAGGATTTTTCTAGGTTTTTTCCTCTGTTCTTCCAGGCTAAAATCCGTTCTGTATTCGTCCCGTTTTATAAATAATCGTATCACGAGGCGCTGTATACTTGGAACTAGAAACACAGTCGTTGGAAAGCCACAAACATTAAACCGAAGTGTACGTTTGTTTGTTTGTTTGTTTTTGTTTTTTCCCAGGAGCCATTATCTTCGGGTCTGACCAGGAAGTGGCCGGCGTCATGCGAGCTGTGCAACGCAACAATGCAACGGGAAGCTTCTCGTGGATCGGTTCAGACGGCTGGAGTGCGCGCAGTCTCGTTTCCGACGGAAACGAGGCAGAGGTGGAAGGAACCCTGTCTGTGCAGCCTCAGGCCAACCCCGTCCGAGGGTTTGAGGAATACTTCCTGAACCTCACCGTGGAGAGTAATCGCCGAAACCCGTGGTTCGTCGGTGAGTACGCGATGTTTTATCACTGTCTTTTGTCCAGACGTGCTTATAATGTGTGTAAGTAGGGCTGCTTACAACAAGTAATTTGAGTATTTCTGCCCCCGCTGTCTTCATATCATTCCGTGTTTATGGCCAAGGGAACAAGAGGTTCAGATTGCGTTAAATTTGCCCCATATAATCTCCTGGTTTCGCATCGTCGCCATGTTTGTAATTTTTAACATATAAAATAACATACAAATTCATCGGGATTTTTATATTATTTTAAACCCTTTAATGAGTTCCTAACAAAAATTATATGTACTTCGAAAGTCTAAAGCTAAGCTTTATTTTCTTACTTAGTTAAGTTTCGCTGCTGTCTTTCCGAACGGCTATGTTAGTATTAATGAAAATAGGAAGAGATTGAAGACGGCGTCGTCTGTATTAGCGCGATATTCGTACCAAATTTGGCGGATATCCATGATTTGTTTATTCCGTTTTAAAGAGGGCAGACACACGGACATGGTGGAATATAAAAATATATTAGATTGGTTAAGTAAATAGTTTTATAATATGTGGGTTTGAAGAGACGGTAAGAGTAATGCCTGACTTTATAAATATAATAGCCTTTGGCAATCGCTATTACCAGAAATATCCCAGCCAGACTTATTTCTGTTGGAATTTCTAAAGTAAAGAATAAACCACGAAGCTTGGAGGAATTGAACCAATATTGCACAATCTGTTGCCATCATTAACCCAGAAACACTTCGGGAAGTCGCGCTGAACACACTAAGACGCTCGTCTTCCAGAAGGTGTTGGACAGCATCTGGTGTAAAGGCTTTCTTTAAGTCCTTCCTGACAAAAATGAGATAAACAAGTTGTCTCTTTATATTCAGGCCACTAAAGGTTATATATAGAAACTGGTGTAGTTAGAGTTGCGTTTTAAATTAAACGCCCTGTAAGTATAGACTAAATTTCCCAGCTTTTAATTCCATACACAAAATAGAATGAAACTCTCAGTATATAAAATGCCCCAATACAGAGCAGTGTAATATTAGACTGCTCAGATGGCACAGACTTGATGAGATGAAGCTCACGTAGTTTAAAGTAATTCTGCCGACCTCATCAAGATGGTGCTTTCATCGAGTAGACATTCAGATACACAGAGATATACAGCACTGTCTTTAATTGTACCTTTCCGTGAATCCTCATTATGTTTCAGTTTCTATAGAAACGTGAATTTAACTCGACATATACTAATTTTGTATGAAAACTACGAAAAGAGTCTTTAAGAAAAAGTAATCATTTATATAACCACTTATTTGAAACTTCTCATTAATACTGGGTCGTAATGCTTATACAAATATTTGAGTGGCATTGCATACCCTTATGTTTTAATATTTCATATTTATGTAAAAATTCATTTAAAATAAATATTTTTGATAGATCTGTTTCATATTTTTTAGATTTTGCCTTGATTTTAGTGGGATATCAGTTCTTCTAGTATGCATTTTTTTAATATTTCATATTTATGTCAAAATTCATTTAGAATAAATATTTTTGATAGATCTGTTTCGTATTATTTTGCCTTGATTTTGGTGGGATATCAGTTCTTCTAGTATGCATTCTGTTAATGTATTATTTTTGTATAATATAAAATATCATAAAATATCGATAATTAATTAATAATTGACGCTAAGCAGGTGAAAATTTGTTAGAATATGAATATAGATAGAAATTGAATGCGAGATAGTTTTGTGCTATAAAATAATATAAACATGCGTGAATGTGAAACTTTGCTTATATATTTCATAGTCGGAATCAATACTAAACGTGAATGTGAAACTTTGCTTATACGTATATTTCATAGTCGGAATCAATACTAATTGAAATTATTCACAAAAGATGCATAACTCAATTTTATAACTATTAATTCGTAGGTCTTCTTAACCCCATTATATCAATTTTAGTCCTTGGTACAAAGTATTCTTTTCCCAGAAAGACTTGTTTTGTATTTTCTAAGGGTCGTTATCCGTACTAGCATGGAGCCACTTATTCATTTCGTCTGCTTAATTTTCTTTTTACTTGTCTTTACGTAACGGAAGTCTTCCAGGAAAGCGTTGCTTTTCGAAAAGACGAATTACGAGACCTTTTTATATTTTATGCATTGACGATTTCTCCATCAGTAAATATTAAGAAAATAAAAAGAGTTTCTTACGCTGTGTAGACTTGTTTATTTAAGGTTTCTAATCCAGGAACTGAATGCTTCTACTAAAGTTTTTTCTCTTTTGTTTCTTTACTGTTTAATTGATTTTTTCAATACAGTTCTCAAATATTCAACTCGGGGAAGAAATTAGACTCTCAGAAACTCCGCTGTTGATACTAATTTCATTCCTTCATTAAAAGTAGTTCCTTTAGGGAAAAATAAGGTCAGAGATCGTAATGTTTTTATTTAATACCGGATTCACTAAAAGATGTCCTGCCGTCTCCATTCTGTAAACTAGCTAATTAGATTCATATTTCTTACAATAAACGTATTCATTAGTGTTTGTTCCGAAATTGATGAGTGGTACTCTGTTATGATTTAGAGATGCACAAGAAATTTACATAAATGTTTTCTGATTTTTACACCTGTAATTTTTGATTTGTAGTAATAACTTCATTGTAGAGTTTTAGAAGTTCATGTGTGTCTTTTCGTATGAGTTGTGAAGCTTAATTTATGAACCTGGTACTCCATTAAGAACTTGTAATCGTTCACATGTCATTCTGTAGAAAAATGACAGTACAACAAAGTTTCTTCCTTGCCACATTCTTCAGACAACTAACTTAAAATGTGTACATTATAGATCATCCAGAGGTATGATCATCATGAATGATGGGTTTCGAAGGACATGTAGAAAGCTGCTGTGGTCTTTTTTGAAACACAGCCTTATAATTTTCTTAGATGGACTCAGGATGAATTAAAAATGAACATGTCAGGGTAAATGTAGTTCAGTCCGACAATTGAAGCCGTATGTCACAGAATACGAAGATGTGATAACAAGCCTTCTGTGAATATCGATTTAATTCGTATTTTTTTCTCAATAAATACACCAAATAATGTATAAAATGTGTATCTTAAATGAACTGGATGTGAGGACGTTGGACTGGATTTGTCTAGCTCAGAACAAGAATCGACTGTCAGCTTTTATGAAAGTGGAAACGACATTTCAGATTCCGTGTAATGTGTGGATTGTTGACAGTCTGAGAAACTACCACCTTTTCTATTATTAGTGTTTCTTTCTCAAATATACAAATTTACTTGTTTGTAAATTTTAATCTCCAAAGGGTATTCGATTATCATTCTTCTGTTCCATTTCTTACATATAATTTCGTAGCACGACAACACGTCACAGTGTATTTTACTGGAAAACTAAACTCCCTGAGAACCTGTCTTTTGACAAGAGGATTTATTTTCATATTCATATATAGAGTCAGGGCGGCCAATTATTTTTACCCTCCTCCGGCATAACAAACACGACGCAACACTGCGCATTCTGTATTCGTACTTTTTTTTCCCCTTCTAGCTCTTATTATTTTAACAACGTTTTAGCGAATTCCGTCCCCGTGCATTGGACTGAAGATTCTATTTGTATTTCCTGTACTGCAGTGGAAAATAATTATTTGGTGTATAATATTGTTTTCTATGTTTCTTTAATGTAGGCATATATCCACATAGAAATACTAGACGAAATTTCATTAATATAAACAAGTTCGCGGATTTTCACGAAACTTGGTATCATCATCATCATCATCATCCCAATAGTCATAATTTTTAGATTTTTGTAATCAACAGATTACTATCAACATCACGAGCATGGGAATTTCTGATATGAGACCAGTAGTAACTTAATATAGTGGCATCTTAAAATTTCTCATGATAAAGGGGTTGAAAGATTATGCACCGTTTTTTTTAAAATGTAAAACAATATGGCCACCCTGCGATAAACAGGGACTCGTTGAACAGTGTATGCTTGGTTTGAGTCAAGTTTTATTCTGTTGGACAGAATTACGTCATTTTGAAACAAAACAATATCATCGGAATAAATTTTTAATTTAATATTATCAAACCAAAATTACAAAGTTAATTCCTTGGACTTGAATAAAGTTATAACCTTACCTACTGAGTGTGTGAAGGACAGTCAATTTTTGCAAGCTGATAGTCGGTCAGATAGTCAAAAAGACGCTCACCTTCCTTGGAACCTAAAGGCTCCAACACCCTATCATGGGTCAGATGATTACAGTTCATTCCCTTATACACTGTTCATTTAAGATGTTTTTCTAATATTATCCTGCAAATACGTGAACTTGACTCGAGTAGTTACAAACCTTCCTGTTTTCTTACTAAAATTTTATATGTTATTCTCATCGCCCCGTGTATTTAAACGTGACCTAAAGTTTAATTGTGTACTAAGAAACCTGTGGGGTAGAACGAAAATTTACTGTGAGTCTCAAAACGTATCTTTCGTAGGGCGATATTTGACAAATGAAACAGATGTGTTGATTTGTCTGCCTTGGGCTCCGGGCGCCAGTCTAAAAATGTTAGCCATTCCTGTACCCTGTTCACAAGGGAATTTTTAATTCCGATCGTGCTTTGTAATAATGTTAGCCATCCCTGTACCCTGTTCACCAGGGAATTTTTAATTCCGATCGTGCTTTATGAAAGTGAGGCTGGAAATGAAATCCATCACGTTTTTCTCCCTGCTGGTATCGTTGTCGTCAATGCCAACATTAATGATTCTATCAACGCGTATAGGCGGGAAAAGTAAAATGCAATAGTGCGTAAGTAAAACGACGCCTCTCAGGAAGAATTGTTAGCCAGCCGCCGAACTTAAAATGTTCTGAAATATTTCACAGCTGACTTTTCCCGATAACTGAACCAAGGAAAACTAATAATTTTTTCATCGATTCAACGTCACTTACTAAGCATGAGAAGTTTCTGACAGGACGTTAAATACTTTTGAGTTAAATGAAATAAGACAGCAGTT